GGATTGTCGTTTTTTATTTTATATTTGCATTGACATGCATGATGACCTGACTTTTCATAGAAAAATAATTTTCCTTCTTCTTAAAGATAAAATGGGGTTAGATTTATTGTTTTAATACATTCTAATACCCTCAAACCCTTTCTTATGTACAAGATATTAGGTGGACAAAATAATATTCTACACATATGTACAAAATAATACGCAGACAAAATAATATCCTACACGTATGAACAAGATAATATGTAGAGTTAAATCATGCACACGTAACTGTTAATTGTTCACTACCAAAACAAATCTCTCACAACATATAATACTCATAATTCATATACTCATGAGGCAAAATTCATTTTTCCTGTTTCATTGGTGTAATAAAAGGAACCTGTGTTTGACATGTGTGCTCTTGGACAAGCTGCATGATGTATGCTGATAGCATTTGATCTAAAAGTTTACCTTTCTTTCATCGTAATTATAACATGCACTAATCAATTTCATATATGATTCACCTTTAACCCAATCACGTAATTTGTCTTTTCAATTAAAATCGATTATAGGATCATTCACATTTCAATAAGAATTACAATGTCATTCACACAGGGGCTATGAAATTAATTTCAAATTGAAATTGATTGCAGCTTAAAACATATATTAAAATTTATTCCTTTATTCAATGTTGGGAAAAACATAATTTAAAAATTATCATAAGAGAAAAATCATACATATAATAAGTATGACTCTGATAACACATGTATTTTAATTTGTAGTTTTATAAAACTACTTTTCATGTTTAGATTCTTTATTATCACATGATAGCATACATGAATCATAATCATATAATAACATACATGAATTGATTCTCACATAACAACATACATGAATTATAATCAGAAGACTAATCCATGAGCACTTCATAATTCTCTTTCTTTCACTATCCAATACTGTAAAACTGTTGAAGGAAGTTGTTGATATTCGTACGATTAACTCTAAGTCCTTAAGATTGTTGTAAAAGCTGACAGAGACACGAATAAACTTTATTCCTGATGCATGTATAAACACTGCCCTTAAGGACTTATTCGCGGTGTATTGCGCAAGTCCCCCAGGATACAACGTAAACTTCTCGAAATATTCGAGATCTCAGAAACTAGTAAGAAAACTCTCAAAAGAGTAAGTTAACCCAGGATAACACAAAGAGGATCAGAGAAGAGAAGATGAGAGATGTGTCTTTCTGAAGAGTATGAAATGATCTCTATTTATAGGAGAAAGTCTGTAGCAGTTATGGGAAGACTTGGTAGTGGATTTGTAACGTTCTCTGAAACAGTATTCTGAAATAGTCTTCTATGTAAATTCTTTGTAACATTCTCTGAAACAGTCTTCCGCAACGTGTGATAACATGTTATCTATTTTACAATACCCCTTAATTTATCAATCTATTGAATTTGTTCATGATTAATTTTAATTTTTTTTTTCGTAAATATACTTAATTATGCTTGAGAAAGTAGATTACAAAAAAAAAAATAACGACGAAAACAAGTTTTAAACGGTGTAGCATTGTCTTGATTAAAGAGTGTGTTGTGATGAGCATACTCGTATTCTTCTTCTCTGCACGCAATGTTATCTCCTTCGGTTCGTTCTTTTCACTGGCGTAAATAATTTTTTTCTTTTTCTTCTTTTTTTTTGCTTATTTGTTAAGTGTCCTTTTCAGTAATTAGTTTTGTGATTTTTTTGTTATGAAAATACTTTATATGCTGCATGAACTATTTTTGATTTATTATAGTTTATATGTTGGAGTGTGAAATAAATTGCAGTCAACTTTCTATGGAATCGTAAAGAAGAAGAGTGTTGAGAGTTCAAGCCTGATCCGTATATAGGAACGGTGCTGAACTGTGCGTTCTTGTGCATCCAAACAACATTTTAGTTCTCACCATCAACAGTGTTGAACTTGTCTTTTGAGTTAACAAAGGACAGGTGCGTATCTTTTCCCTCTTATGCATTCATTTCAACATTTTCATTATCTAATATGGTGCCACTTAATTGACCCTTTTCTCTTCCTATAACGTGTAGAGTCACCTATATTTAGCTCTTTTTTAACCTTTAACCTCTCATCTTTCAACTATGTTTCTATTCTGGAATAAAAGAGAGATGTCCCTTTTAGGTTTTGTCCTTCCCCTTTATAATCAAATTTCCCTTTAGAGTTAATCTCCTGGTGCATCTATTGGGCACAGTAATATCTTATTTCTCGTACTATCTACACATTGAGCCCATTAGGTATCAATCAAGTCCATCTTCCCTTAATAGGTTTATCTTGACCCACTTTACTTATGCAGTTGGACCCGACCCCAACCAGACTCAATCTCTATGCACATACCATAACCCCTAAGTCTTAAATTAGAAAAATATTTCTAATGCAAAGACTAAAAACCGAAATAAACGTCAAATAACTTCATTTCTTAATATTTCATGATATAATTGTGAAGTTCAACCACTTAAAAGGAATAAACAACCCTTAAAAATCATACTTACAGTGACCATCGTCTTGATGTAGAGTGTGTAAATTGCTTCTGCGTGTACTTAAATTTAGACGAAGATTAACCTGCTTAGGTCACATTTCGACCATAATGCGCAATTCGTACATAGTGCATATTTCGCACATTGCTCGATTTTCGAGCGTAATACGTATTTCGTACGTAGTGCGGATTTCGCACATTGCTCGGTTTTTGAGTGTAGTACGGATTTCGCACATTGCTCGGTTTTCGAGCATAGTACGAATTTCGTACGTAGTGCGGATTTCGTACATTGTTCGGTTTTCAAGCGTAGTACGGATTTTGCACATTGTTCGGTTTGTGAGCGTAGTACGAATTTCGTACGTAGTGCGGATTTCGCACATTGCTCAGTTTTCGAGCGTAAGTCCCATTCTGACCATAATATAAATATTTAAAGAATGTCTGAAGGGACATTTTTATTGATATCGTTACCTCGTTCAAAACCTTGAAAGAAAAACCTGATTGTTCAGTAAAAAATTTTCAAGGAAAATAGTACAACTCAAGGTCCAACGTAGATATTAGAAACTAAAAGATTGAAATTGTATAAAATTATAAAATATAAAATAACATGGGTAAGGACTAAAATATATAATATTAAAAAATGGTGTAACTATTACATATTAATTAATTTTTATTTTTATTTTTTTAAATTGTGTAAAGACTTAAAATATTTAATATAAGAGGATGGATATATTATTATAAAATGTCTAATAAACCTATATATTAATTTAGTTTAATTTTATTATGTAAATAAACTCGTTCAAAATTAGTTTAATTTTATTTAGACTATACATTTAATTTGTCTAATTTAATCTATTTCTTTAACTTTTTGGACCTTATTATGTTAAAGTATATTTTTGATAACCTTATAATTGATTAGTAAAATTTAATTGTATCCTAGACAAATAAATTAAAATGATATTTTAAAATTATATGAATTAAAAATATAAATTTCAACTTATTCGAACCCTTTATAAAAAAATTATTAATTTAAGTATATAATAAGTTATATTATTTTTCTAAAAATATCTTTAACAAATTTATTCATTTAATATTAGACACCCAATTAATTAATATTTAAAACGAGAATAATAATTATATATTTTATTTATCTTTTCTCAATTCTAAAAATTATAATAAAAATAGTGTTTTAATTTTTATCCTAGTCAACAAAATTGAGAATTATTTTTGTGATTCAACCATTACGATCAGCATCGACCTCTTATAAATTAGGTAACTAATTTTGTTATGTATTTGACAAATTATCCCTACAAAATAGAGAAATAATTATTTAAAATAAAATAAATAAATCTAAATATTAAAAGTACTTTTAAAGAACATAATGATATAATTTATAATATATTATTTAAAGTTAGAATGCATATCACTCATTTTATATATGGTTTCAAAGAATATGAGTTGAGAGAAAGATTCAAAAATGCGAGTGAGATAAATGATTTAAATTAATTAAGATTAACAATAAAAAGAAGAAGAAGAATGAGAATGGTGAGGTACTTGCCTGGAGTTCAGTGGTGACAGGGTACTCATCCATGTCTAAGTAGTTTTTGTTAATGCCAGCCATTATGAGTTTATCATATTTAGGCTCCATCCACGTCATCACAAAGGACACCAGGTTCAACCTCGGATTTCCATCCACCTCGTCGTTTATGATTTGGTACGCCGCTTCCTTTGGGATCGATTGCTGAGACAGAGGAGGAAGGAGCAAGAGAGGAATAATGGGTGCGTCTAACGAGTCGTTCGAGGATTTGTCTATAAACTCATTTAGAGTCTTGATTGTTTCGATTGTTGGTATGAGTTATCATGATTGTTTTGAATGTGGAGTAAGAAAAGTTTTACGTGTCCCACGGTGGGCACCAATGTTATGGAATAAGAGAGAGGTCCCTTTTAGGTCTTGTCTTTTCCCTTTATAATCAAATTTCCCTTTAAGATTTTTCTCCTGGCACATCTATTGGGCCCAATAATATATTATTCCCCGTACTATCTACACATTAGGCCCATTAGGTATCAATCAAGTCCATCTTCCCCATATAGGTTTATCTTGACCCACTTTAGTTATGCAGTTTGACTCGAGCTCAACCAGATTCCCAATCTCTATGCACTTACCAGTTTTAATCACCAATCTCTTTTCTTTGTTTTTTACATAGTCATCTCATATGGAAATATTAGGATACCTGCCAAATGAATTCTATATTAAGTTTAAAGAGATACGCAGGATCAAAGAAACTTCTTCAAATGTTCTGTCATTATTCTATTACCTTTGAAATTAAATATTCTCATTCTGCTGTAGTAGCTCTCGTAACAATGCTGGGACTGCATGGCACTGAAAAAAGATCGTTAGTGGTTGGTATTCTCGTTGGTGTCTTCAATGTTATGATGTATGTCTCTCCTCTTACAGGACCATAACTGTGAGAGGCTTCAATGTTATGATGTATGTCTCTCCTCTTACAGGACCATAACTGTGAGAGGAGAGACATACATCATAACATTGAAGAAGACATCAGCGAGAATACCAACCACTAAGGTTTTTTTTGTGCCATGCAATGCCAGCATTGTTATGAGAGCCTCGATGAGAAGAAAAATTAATACCTTCCTCTGAAGTTAAAGAAGAGACCGTAAGTGTCAGAATGAGAATATTTAATTTCAAAGGTAAAAGAATTATGGCAGAACATTTGAAAGAAAAAAAATTTCTTTGATCCTGCGTATCTCTTTAAACTTAATATAGAATTGATTTGGCAGGTATCATAATATTTCCATATGAGATGACTATGTAAAAAACAAAAGAAAAGAGATTGATGATTGAAACATAGTTGAAAGATGAGAGGTTAAGGGTAAAAAGAGAGCTAAATATAGGTGACTCTAGACATTATAGGAAGAGAAAAGGGTCAATTAACTGGGACATATTAGATAATGAAAATGTTGAAATGAATGGCATAAAAGGAAAAAGATACGCATCGTCCCTTGCTGGTTGCATAGATATAATATATCGTAAGATAGAAAAACTCAAAAACAAGTCCAACACTGTTGATGGGTAGAACTAAAACGCTGTTTGGATGCACAAAAGGCATTCCATAGAATGCCCAGAATGCACAGTTCAGCACCGTTGCTATGTACGGATCAGGCTTGAACTCCTCAACACTCTTCTTCTTTACGATTCCATAGAAAGTTGGACTGCAATTTATTTCACACTCCAACATATAAACTATAATCAATCAAAAACAGTTCATGCAGCATATAAAGTATTTTCATAACAAAAAATCACAAAACTAATTACTGAAAACGACACTTAACAAATAAGAAAAAAAGAAAAAGAAAACAGAGCAAAGAGAAAGAAAAACGGTTTAACTTAAACCGGTGAAAAGAACGAACCGAAGGAGATAACATTGCCTGCAGAGAAGAAGAATACGATTATGCTCATCATGCTAAACCGATTAAAACTTGTTTTCGTCATTATTATTTTTTTGTAATCTACTTTTTCAAGCATAATTAAGTATATTTACGAAGAAAAAAAATTAAAATTAATCATGAACAAATTCAATAGATTGCTACAAAGATTATTCCAAATCGTTTTTCTACACAGATTTGGTGAAAACCACAACAAATTCATGTTGATATTGAGAGATTGAGAATTGAGACAGAGAATAACCTATTATGCCGACGACGGTACGAGCAACTGCAGGGTTCACCATTGAGCTTATTTTTGGTTTTCTGCAGAGAGAATTAATAATGCAACAGAAAATCACAGAATGAAAGAGAGAGTGAAAAAGAGAAACAGAAAATAAGAATGCATGAGGTGGAAACAGGGACCAGAGACAGCTACATATAACTTACCTACTAGATGTTTCCTTTTATATTTTTGGAATAATATATATTAGTTCAAACAAAAATAAATAAAATTAATGCATAAAATTGAGTTCATAGTTTATGGGTAAGGTTGAATTTGAATATTACAGATCATAGAAACAATAGATCTTACCAAGACTGATAAGGTGGTGAATCAGATTTTTTAACAAAATTATTTATGAATGAAATATATGATTATTGTAAGCAAGCACTAATCACATGTTAAGAGAAGGGAAAGAGAAAAAAAAATAATGGATTATCTCTTTTGGTCAAATTTATTTTGATGTCACAAGTGTTCTTCTTTCTTCTTAATTTAATGCATCCTACTCAGAAATGGTAAACATTTTATGCATAATTGGTTATGCATTAAATATTGTCTTTTAAATTATTTAGTTACATTTGAAAAAATAAATGTTAGAGCTATAATAATTACTAATTAAAAACTGAAAATGAAAAATAAAGAGAAATTAATAAGAGTGTTTATGATATATAGTAAATTAAGAATTTAATAGTATTATTTCTTTTATAAATTTTAATGAATTTTTTTATCTTGCTATTGTTTGTAGACTTAAATATATTAGTAAACTTAAATAATATTTCACATATATTAATTTTTAGTCATTATAAGATGTATAAGTGATTTTAGTTCTATAAAATAATTTGTTTTTTTCATCCTTTTAGAATTTGAAATTACGACTTTTTTTATTGTTAACAATTTCAAATGTTTTTAGAGACGTAAAACACAATTGAGAATGATCAACTGATTTTGTTATTTAACAAGTAAATAAATAAATAAATAAATAAAAGTATAACATAATATTACAGATAAATACGTTTATTCAAACAAATAAATAATTACATAAAGTTAAAATCAAGCATTTTACATAGATTTAAAAAAAATATTAATTACGTATGATATTATGTAATAAAAATATAATTTTTATTGAATATATAAAAATGTTTAGATTTGTCTTAAAATGTAATTATCATGCAAAATGCATTGATTTTTTATTTTATTTTAGATACATTAGGTAGAAAATACTTAGATAAAAAACTTCTGAACAATGACTAAAATATATAATTTTTTTGTAAATATTTATTAAACATTGTCTCTGTAACATATTTAATTAATTAATTTTATATTTATAAAAATTAATTTTCACTGAGAGAGTATGAACAGTATGTTTAATCCATTAAACTCAAATCCTATGTGAGTTTATTCATGATTCGCGAACTTATGTGAACTTCAAACAAAATGTTGATCAAAATATGAGATTATAACATGCATGTTCTTTTATTTTTATTCGTTCATTTACTCGTACATTTTATATATAATAAAAATATAATAAAACATCAAAACTATAATTCAAATCGTAATAACCTAAATTATAATAATAACTAAATATATTTTTATTTTATCTTAAATAATAATAAAAATATTTTTAACGTAAAAACTACTTCATTCGAGTTAATAAGAGGAATTCTTAATATATATATATATATATATATATATATATATATATATATATATATATATATATATATATAAAAAAGTTTAACGATAAGTTTTATATTTATAGTGTTCCAAAACGATAGGTCTCACTTAAATAACTATAAATATAAAACTCATATAAAAATAATATATTTTGTTTATAAACAAGGGGAAGAGATGTTCTGAAATAAAATATCATCATTTTAATTTATATTCCATTAATATAAAAACTACCTTTTTTATTTTAAAATATTTGTAATTACAGTTTTCAATAGTTACTTAAATTAAATTTTCAAAATAACAAACAAAGAGTTTAAACAAACAACACACTTTTTTTTAATTGTTTGTGAAAAAAAAAACTGAATTATCTAACATAAAATTATCAAAGATTTAAAAAAAAATAAAAACTGAATTATATAACATAAAATTATCTAAGGTTTTCAAAAAACTCGTTATAAATAAGAGAAAAACCCTCAGCGTTCAATTGTAACGTTTCACACTCACACACAAAGCGCATTGTGTTCTTCTGTTCTGTCGTTCGCTTCAATTTTCTGCGTGTTTTCTGTGTTGCATTCGAAAATGGTGAGCGCTTCACTAGCTCGCAACATCATTGGCATCATAGGTTCGTTCTGTTCTCTCTCTCTAACCGCAACTCCAAACTTTGCACATGCATGTGTATCTTATAATCATTTTTTTTGTTCGAGTTTTGATTTGCATCGATCGATCGCTTTTAGCTTCGTTTCCGTCGGAGGACGTGGTTTTAATGAGGAGAACTTGAACTTCAGTTTCAATTAATGCTTGCTAAATCTGCTTAGTTCTTTGTGCATAACTTTTGTTGTTTAATCTATTTATGCACCCAAAAAAAATGTTGATTTAGAATTTAGAGTGCTTATTGTTAAGTTTGTTGTGTTTATATATTCTGATCAGTCTTTGCTTTTTCTCTGCAGGAAATGTCATCTCGTTCGGCTTGTTCTTCTCACCAGCGTAATTAATCGCTCTCTACACTTAGATATCTAGTTTTTTATTAAATGTTGCATAATTATCATGTAGATGTACCAGTGCGTCACTAGTTGTGATTACAATATTTTAATATCTAAATTTTGATGTTATGTATTAATATTGCTTAACTCTTTCTCGTTACTAAAGATTTGCTTCGAAATAAATTAATCTATTTAATCGTGATATATTTGCTTCGAAATAAATTAATCTATTTAATCTTGATATCATACAACTATTTATGCTTCACTTTATTGATTACGTGAAGTGACAGAATATAAGATTGATTTTGTTGTAAAAAGTATTAGTTTTGGGTTAACTAGTATATGATGAAAAAATAGTTTACATATAAGGTATGGGTTTAATTTTTATGTGTTGTTGGTCTTCAAATAATTAAATTGTAATTTAATCTTTCTTTTTAATTCTTATTCATGATTTTGGTTATGTTATTTTCTGTAATTTTGGTTCTAAAAATATAATGAAACTCATCAATTCACTGTGTATAAGGGCATGCGATGAGATGTTTTTGATATGCAAACACTATTTACTCGTAACATCTACTGTTTAATAGAATGGTTTCTTTCTATATACAATATTTGCAAGAAAATAATTTATGAGTTATTTTAATGAATTGCAGACCAACATTTGTTAAAATTATAAAGCAGAAGTCGGTGGAGGAGTTCAAGCCTGATCCCTACATAGCTACGGTGTTGAACTGTGCGCTTTGGGTGTTCTATGGAATGCCATTTGTCCACCCAAACAGTCTTTTAGTGGTGACCATCAATGGCGTTGGGCTTGTGTTCGAGTTCGTTTATCTAGCCATATTTTTCACCTATGCAACCAACAAAGGACGGGTGCGTATGCTTCATTTGATTATGTTATATATTATGCCTCATTCATGCAGCTTTTCCTGTTATGTGCCTTGTGCCCTGTTTATATAATCATTTTGTTAAGGATTTTTCCGAGTCAATCTGGTTTTACTGTAAAAGAAAATTTAATGGTCCCATTACTCGGACTCTCATTTCTGTTTAAACCATTCAATTTAAATTGACGTAATAGAACTTTCTTGTCCCCTTTTCTTCTCTCGTGCATAGTTGATGAGTTTGAAAAATGATAAATTTTTTGGTAAAACATACTAAATCAACTCATAAGATTGGGCAGAAAAAAAAAAGGAAAGTTATGTGAGCACAACATCATAATTATGTAAAAAAAATATATGATTGATTTTTCACAATTAATTATACAACTATCATAATTGATTGGGATTTTTTTAAAATAAAACAATTTCTCTTTCCAGTTTTTTTTTCAATAAAAAAACTTTTTTTTTCACTTACCTCACTCTTCTTTTTCTTTCTTTTTCTTTTCAGTTATTACTTTCCTCTGTATGAAACTAAGCATTACATAAATGCAATGTCTATATGCCAACTGGTAAATGGACAGAAAAAGTACTATAGTACACAATTGATTTCATTAAATAATTAGCTTATATTATTTTTGTCAAAATTTTCGCTTTTTCTAAAAAAAAATTCAAATACTTTTGAAGTCTCAAAATCTAGTTGTTTTCAAAGATAAAATACTTTGCATCATGCTTATGTAACCATATATTAATCCTGTTCTGCCCCTCACTGTCTCTTTACCGTATTCAGAAAAAGTTGTCGATTTTACTTCTCATAGAGACTATTTTCTTTGCTGCCATTATGCTGATAACAACGCTGGTACTGCATGGCACTACTCGAAGGTCGTTGGTGGTTGGTATCATCTGTGATATCTTCAATGTCATGATGTATGTCTCTCCTCTTACAATCATGGTAAGTCTTCAATTTATACAATTACATCCCATAACTTTACATTATGAACTCGTTCTTTTGACACATGAATATTGAAGTCTATTTTGTACAATTTTTTTCTTCCAAAAAAAGACTTATAATAATGGTCTTGGTATATATAAATACTGATCAGGCTAAGGTTATCAAAACCAAGAGCGTGAAATACATGCCATTCTGGCTCTCTCTGACCAACTTCCTTAATGGTGTGTGCTGGACCACATATGCTCTTATCCACCCCTTAGACCTCTATGTTCTGGTAATTAGTTAATGACTTCAGTTTTCACCTCTCTATCATTTCTCTTTCATGTTGTGATTCTTTATGAATCATGTTTTGTTACCCCATCTTTACCTTTATATGTATTTATTGTTGCAGATCAGTAACAGTATTGGAGCCGTCTCTGGACTGGTTCAGCTCATCCTGTATGCTTGCTACTGTTGGGGAGGAGAAAACAATGATGATGATGATGATGAGGTCCCTAAGACAACTGGGGTTCCAGTCTCTGAATGCTGAATGCCCGTCTGGTCTTGAATTCATTTTGATTCATACATTTTTATGTTCTTGTAAAGTTATGCTTTTACAATATGCATCTCATGCTTACATAGATAGTTCTAGTTGAGAAACTCACAACATCTAATGGTATTTTGGTATTTTGCTAACACGATTAAAGAATAAAAATAAATATTTTATTATATATGTTACGTAAAAAAATTATTTATTTAGAAAAAATTATTTATATCAGTATTTTTTATTATATATGTTACGTAGAAAAATTATTTATTTAGAAAAAATTATTTATATCAGTATTTTTTTACCAATTTTTCAATAATTTATATATGGATTTATAATAAAAATTCATTTTTATCCTTAATTCGTTGGAGAACTTAATAATTTTCTTTTTATCATTTTATCTTTGGTTTATTTTTTACATTGATTTCACTAGAAGAAAAAATAATAATTTTAATAATATAAATATTTATAAAAAAATTAAATTTATTATTATTATTAATATTTTATAATAATAATTTAATTGTTATGAGTATTATATTTGTAATAATATTTTTAAATATTATTAAAATTTATTCTTTGTTATGATAAAATTAATTGTCACTTATAATTATATAATAATAATAATAATAATAATAATAATAATAAATTAATTAACTGTCGCAAATATATAAAATAATATCATAAATTAATTGTGGCTTTTAATAATATATAATAATTATAATTATTTTAATAATAAAAGTTTTATCAAATTATTAAATAATTTTTACTATTAATATTTTGTTATCAAATTATTAGAAGTTATATTTATAATAATTGCTTTTATTTTACTTATTATTATTATTATTATTATTATTACTATTACTTACTTACTTACTTTTCATTATTATATTTATCACTAAACTATTAAAAAATATGTTGATATGGAATTATAGTATATTACTTCCACGTCTTAATAAATAAATAAATAAATTATTTTAAAAGTGTAAAAGATTAATAAATATCTAAATAAAGTATTTATTATTTTTTGAATGGTAAAAACTAGATATTCAATAATATTTTAAATCAAACCTCGTTTAATCTGTTTTTCCTTCGTATGATTAAAATTTGGTCAATCTTTTTTAAAACAACGATAAATTGTATAATCTTTAAAAGTTTTGATCTTATAAAATAAATAAATAAATAATTCATTAATATTAATAAAAATAAAATAATCAATAATATTTTAGACACATAAAATGTAATGAAAATATTTTATGTAAAAATTATTTTAAAGTTAACTATTAATCTCTTCTTATTTTCTATGGATATTAATAAATTTTTCTACTTTTACATTAAAATAATTTTTTCCACTTTATTCATTTTTTATTTAACTTTAAATATATTAATTTTGTTATTTTTTTTATCATATATATTTTTGAGAATATAATTATGTTAAATAAAAAATATTTTAAAAAATTTAATTATTATTATTATTATTATTTTATAACTCCGAATAAAACTTAAAAAGTAACTAATGTTTTTATATAAGAATTATATATATATATATATAATAATAAAATAATAATTTTAGAATAAATAATTTAAATAAATAATTTTTCAAGGATCATAATATATTTTTTTGGTAAAATTAATTTTTGTAGGTATCGTGACCTGCCAATCCTCTCTTCATATATGTTATTTAATGACTCAGAAATTCATTAATATATATATATATATATATATATATATATATATTAAAATTTATATGATTTTAATATTAAATTATTTTTTCAATTATTTAAAACCACAGTAAAACACTATTAAACTATTATTCTCTAAAAAATATTCCGGATAATTTTGATTTGATGTCACGATTTTTTAAAAATTTTGATAGAAAAGCACAGACTTTTTTTAAGAAAAAGCTTTTAAAATATTTTAAAATCCAATTTAAACACACCACTTTAAGACAAATTTCAGATATTAAAAAAAAAATCAATGTAAAAGAAAACGTGTCTTTGCATGGACCCAATGCTATGTTATCTTATCCAAAGAAGCATCAAGATGAATGGACGATGGATTTCCCTCAAGGGTGACCCTTTCTGCAACCTTCCCTTACTAAGCCCAAACCTCAAAGTTTGCCCAAAGCCTTATCTAACTTAACTAGTTTTCACTGTCTGTCTCTTTCTCTCCATATTTGTGTCACATGAAATTTGTTCTCTGAAATTTTGTTGACATCATTTCAATGGCAGCAATTATCCCCTGCCACTACTGCGCTTCCCTCAGTCCCAAATGGATCAATTCCAACAGCACAAACTCTAGGCGTTTATCCTACCGACTTCGAGGATTCCAAGGTTTCAATGCTCGTTGCTCTTACCAACCACCCCATCATTCTGAATTTCAGAACAACCATGTAAGTCTCTTGAAAATTTGATCCTGTGAGTGTAGATGCTCTTTGTTTCACATGAATGGTGATTATGGTCATCTGGGGATGGAGATGTGGTAGGTATCCAACAGCATTTTACTTTCTTGTTCATCTCATGTTTGAATACAATTAATTTGTTACAAACAGTGAAATTTGTAGAAGTGAATTTCAAAAGGGAAAAAGAGTTTAAGTCGCGTGGAAGATAATCCTCTAATAAGGCACTGAGAGTGGGCTAATGATAAGGGGTTTGAGCAGTTTGAAAGGTTTAAACTTCCCTGGTGCTATTATACCTGAGAGAGTGGATATCTAGGATTTGCATGTGCCCCAAATGCACTTAGGTTACTTGAGTCAAGTGTTTCAGCCTTGAGTTAAAAGCATTGTAAGAAAAATAATAGGGTGCGAACTCTTCAATCTACAGTGGTATTTGTGAAAACTGAATATTTGGGAATATATGTTTTGATAAATTTATAAGTTATTATATGTGTGAACTTCTTTTACTTTTCTGTTCTTTTCAATTTAAATAGAAAGAGTTTATGTACTTTATTTGTTTGCTCTCAACCTGTGTAATGTTTACAATGTAACTTTAGATTGCTAGAATGTGTGATTGCAGCCCCAAAGCTTATTGTGTTCTATTTTGGTGCAGAATGGGAAGCCATTTTCCTTCAAGCAGTGTGCGATATCTATAGCATTGGCGGTTGGGTTAATAACAGGAGTTCCTACATTGGGGTGGCCCACCAATGCTCAAGCAGCTAATCCTGTGTTATCTGATCTATCTGTTTTGATATCTGGACCACCAATTAAGGACCCTGGAGCGTTGTTGAGATATGCTCTTCCTATTGACAATAAGGCCATTAGAGAAGTACAAAAGCCACTTGAAGATATCACAGAGAGTCTCAAGATTGCTGGAGTCAAGGCACTTGACTCTGTGGAAAGAGTAAGACTTAAGATTTAAAGTTTCTATTCTTCTATCTGTAGAAGTGTATTGTGCATGCGGTTTGTGCATGGGATTTTGTGTTTCATTTCCTTTAGGGATTGAAGCTAATTTACTTTACATGGAATGTAGAATGTGAGGCAGGCATCTCGAGCTCTCAAGCAAGGGAAGACTCTAATTGTATCAGGTTTAGCGGAGTCAAAGAAAGAACATGGAGTTGAACTGCTTAGTAAGCTGGAAGCTGGTATAGATGAGCTTGAATTGATAATACAGGATAGAAATCGAGATGCAGTGGCACCAAAACAGAAAGAGCTTCTTCAATATGTTGGAGGGTGAGTATCTCGATTACTAATCACTTACATAAACTACCAAAAGACCTTTATCCTTCTATACATGTGCTCAATGAGAAACAGGATATTTTTTTCTTCTTTCTTTGAAGAAATGAAAGACGGATTGATGGGTTCCTTAAATGTTTTCACTTTGTCAAGATGTATTTCTGTGTAAGTGTCTGTTCTATCCACCAGTCATAAGAATCTGAAACTCTGCTATTATTAGGATTACATAAATATGCATAATAGGTGTGCTATGACAACATAAAGCACTTCATGTTCCTTAATCTGAGGAACTGACAGAAACAAGGGTCAGTTGCTTCGATGATACAAGTAGGCTTTACCTTAAATCTATGGGGCAAATCCATTTACCCTTGACCATCATCTTTGTAATGAGATCTGCACTATTGGTACAGCCAATAGATCACCACTTGTCCTGGTTATGTAACACCAAAGTGTGCCTGAAATCCAAATGTCTGACTAACTACTGTACTGCAAGGTGTCATGTTTAATAAGTCAGGTAGTCACTGAAAAGCATTCATGTGGATAACCTGATTTTGCATGCTAGTTTTGCAACCATTTTAGCATGATCCCTCTAGATCCATTTGGTTGTAAAACCTGCTAAGTTTGATCTGTTTTGAGTGGGCGAAATCCAAACTCAGTCCAATTATTGAACAGGCTTTCATAGGCGTCTGGTAACCTGGTTCTATCAGATGTTGACAAAAACTGAATCCTCCTCCTAATAGTAGAAAATTGGGAGGACTTAGAAAGTTAACCTTCTTGAGAAAGACTTTTCTCATATAGAACCTTTCATTGACTGCAGCTGAGATGTTCCTGGGGCATTGCATTTCTGCAGTGTTGAAGAAGACATGGTTGATGGCTTCCCATATGAAGTGCCTGAGGAATACCAAAATATGCCTTTATTGAAGGGGAGAGCAGCAGTGGATATGAAGGTCAAGGTTAAAGACAATCCAAATCTGGAAGAATGTGTTTTCCACATTGTTCTTGATGGTTACAATGCCCCTGTAACAGCTGGAAATTTCGTTGACTTGGTTCAAAGGCACTTCTATGATGGCATGGAAATCCAGAGAGGTAATATTCTTATCTTTATTGGACATGTTTTTTGTTTTTTATTTCCCTTTTAAACTGGTTTGGTAAAGAAAATGTTTTAGGCCTCCTCCAGCTATATTGTAAAAATAAATACTAGGTAATGAAAAATTTGATCCTTTAACGTTTATTGATATCTGTAATTTTGTATGGGTTTGTTTTGACAAATCTTTCACCATAAGGACATCTAAGAAAGAAAAATAGGAAAAAAAATGAAATGAGTTTCTCCATAAGTTAAAATTAGTTTACGCATAAGTTAATTTTTAGAAACTCTCTCATTTAACTTCTCTAAACTCTAATTTTTAAATTAGTAAATAAACTATTTTTAACCTATGAAAAACTTATTTCATTTTTCTTTTTCTAGAAGTAGTTATAGAGAAGTTTGTGCAGTCTTGCTTTCCTCTTTACTTACATTTTCACCAAAATAGTTTAAGATTTTATTTTTTCAATTTTTATATTTTGTGCAGCGGATGGGTTTGTTGTCCAAACTGGTGATCCTGAAGGGCCTGCTGAGGGTTTCATTGATCCAAGTACAGAGAAAACCAGGACAATACCATTAGAGCTTATGGTTGATGGAGAAAAGGCACCTGTTTATGGGGCAACTTTAGAGGTAATCTTCAGAATCTTCAGATTTTTATCACTCTTGCGGCATGTTATTCTTTTGCGCATTTGCATTTGTATCACAAACCTCTTGTATGATCAGAAGAAATAAGTGTTCTTTACTAGTATAATAGTATTAGTTTCTTACTTGTAGTTTCACTTTAAAACGATGTATTTTTTACCTCCAAACATGTTCCTTTTGCCGTCTCAAGGTTGAAAACTTTCTTATTTGTTGTTGACAATAATCTGTTGGAGCAGGAGCTTGGTCTATACAAGGCTCAAACAAAGCTTCCATTTAATGCTTTCGGTACAATGGCAATGGCAAGAGAGGTGAGAATCTAGTCATTGACATAGATGTTCTTTAAGCATGCTGATATTTTTTTCCTTGCTTTTATTTACTCCTTTTATTCTGTCGAATAGGAATTTGAGAACAACTCTGCCTCTAGCCAGATATTTTGGCTATTGAAAGAAAGTGAGCTAACTCCTAGTAATGCCAATATATTGGATGGTCGATATGCAGTCTTTGGCTATGTAACAGAAAATGAGGATTACTTGGCAGACCTCAAAGTTGGTGATGTCATAGAATCTATTCAAGTAGTTTCTGGACTGGATAATTTGGTGAATCCAAGCTACAAGATTGCTGGCTAGTGAACTTTCTGTGCTTTTGCTATCAAATACCACATGAGTGTTTGTTGTCACTTGCTTCAAGGCTATTCAGGAATGCAGGCTACTAGATTGGAAAGTTCACTCCCTTTAGTTTCTCTGCATTGTTATCAGAAAAGCCAGAATGCATTTTACTACACCTAGCGTTCAGTTAAACAGCTTGAGATTTTATTATGTTTTAAGACTATTCACCGCCCCGGCTTGTAACTTTCATTCCATCAATTCATCAATAAATTTATGATTTTCAGTGAGGAAATTGTGGGCCCATCTCATACAGTTTCTGGCATTCATCTGGAATTATTCATATATGTACAGAATTATTTTATTTGTCTACTTTGAACACAAACATCAACTATGAATGGATAGACACTCATTATCTTTTGAGCACAAGACCAAAAACCTTTTGATGGTTATATTTACCTTAGTAACGATGTACATAAATATATACATTTATAGAGAATTTCAGACAATTCTTTGTACCATTAGAACAATCATTAGACTTGGGAAATACTAAAAACTTATGCAACTCCGTAATCGTTTTGATGAACGGTTCTCTGTCTGAGTTTCTATATAGTATTTTCCTTTATAACCTTTGAAATATCAATGCATTATTTTCTGCGAGAAAAAATGAAAAATATTATTCCACTCTTTTTAAGGGAAATTGTTTAAAGGATTGAAGGCAAATTGTAGACAAACATTTTACATGCATGATTATCGAAGATTCCCTTTCACACATTCAAACTAGGAAAAAATATCAACAAAGCATCTTTCTTTGGTGGTTGATATTGCATCATGCAACATGTGCTCCGAATTTACACTGTTAGTATGTAAAGGTCATAATTTTCCCAATAGTATATCACCCGTTCCGTGTCTGCAATTACCTTCATCGTCTCCAACATCAGATATGGCCAACGAACTTTGGTGGAGCTTCTCTCTTTGCTTATATTTATGTCATTTCCTATACCTGCGGTTGTCAGTTTCGACCATGGAAAGAAACTTTGACCAGAAGTTGCTTACAACATTTTGAAGTCAGCCATATTTATGCAGTTGAAGTAGGGCCTAGTATGATGCAGAACTGATTCAAAAGGGGTTCCATGATCTAATTGTTTCAGTTTATGTAGCTGGTGTCTTATTAGATGAAGTTTCTTCTGAAGCTGTAACCCAAAACAAGGTATAGGGAACTTCTCTAATCTCTAGTTCTCTTGTTTTACAAGATAATAAATAAAATGGAAGATATCATTAACATATCAGAAACAGTAGTAGAGCAAGAGAATTCTTCGTGTACAGTTCAATCAAAATCTCTAACAGAAAGATCTTTTATACATAGCGAAGTTTCAAGCAAAGTGGCCCTATTAATGAACTTTTTAGATGACGAAACTTATGGATTGTTTGAAGCAGAAACTTGATTTGAGAAGATGGTTAGTTGTAGATAACGTTTGTAATGAAAATTGGATCAATTGGTTTATTGTTTTATAGAACTAAAAACCTTTTCAATATGAGGATTTGCAAACATCTGGAACTTCTTTTTTATTAAATGGTCATAACTGTTGATACATATGTCACTATTCTGAAGGGAATTTGATATTCTCACATGAGATTCTTCACAGTTAAAATATCATGTAAGATTTTACCATTTAAGAATTAATTACATTGGTTCGCATTGCGCTTGTTGCTGGTTATGAACTCTACTCCTTAATAAGTTCCTGCATAATTTTATTGGTGATTAAGGGCATAATCAACCATAACATCATAACTTACGAAGATAAGTAACATGTAGTTTCAATATACTTGTTAGCAAGTTCAACACCAAGTTCATTTGGTTTACAAGATGGAAACCGCATAAAGATGAATATGTAATAAAATTTAGATGATTTGGTTATAATATATTTTTTTCACTCTTTTTATTATAGTAATAAATAGTTAAAAATAAGATTAATAATAATAAATAAAATAATTTCTTTTTCACTTATTTCTTTCCAACTAATCAATTTCTTTCCACTCATTTCTTACCTTTTTTTTATCTTCCTTTCTATTCCTACATTGTATAAACAAAACACTGTAATGCCAATTGAAATTGAATAAACAAAAAGTTTCCTCAAGAGATAACACCCTTTTTAAGGCCAAATTGTATATTTATTCCATATATTATAGGTCATGTCTTTCTGCACATGAGCAGAAGTTCCCAAATCAGATCACTCGTAGGCTCATAGGACATGAAATGACCCATTAGAACTTTGATATTAGTGTTGGAACAATCCATGCTACTACTGTCAAGTGTACAACTTACATGGAAAATATTATAAAAATGGGTGCAATGAGGAGAGAGCACAATTAGCTTTACAAAAATTATAGCCCAACAAAGTAACAAGTAATTGCAGAGCTCTTCATTATCTATGGCTTTCACACCTTTTGTGTATGCATTCCATCCTGAGTCTTCCTTCCCTATTCCTTCAATGAAATAAAATACAAACTGATTTTCCAGAATACTGTATATCATCCCTCCATAATCGATTTCCTTGACAGTGAAAAATCTTTCAAGGTCCTCGATAGCTGCGAAAACATAAACAACCCTGAGGCTGATCAAGAGGGATCATACCTCCACCCTTTGAAGTGTCAATGGCTTCCAACATGGACACTACTTCATCCATCTCTGGCCTCTTATCAGGATTCGCATCCCAGCATCTTTTCATCACATTTGCCAGAGAGCTAGGACAACATCGTGGAATCTCTGGCCTCAGATTCTGCAGTTCCACAAAGAATCTAGTTAAAATAAAAACAGCTGCTAGGAATGCATACACATCAGATATGATTAAGTAAGACCACTGTAAATAAACTAACACTTGTTCATGTTGGTGATTGTTAGGTCTTTCCCATAACTATTGATGTTTAAGGTTCATGCACATGGATTAAAGAATATGTAAGGGATGTAAAATATTACTATATTTGACCAAAAATGTTCTTATTTATCATCTTGAGAAGAAATTAGATTTTGAAATTTGAAAACATCAATCGTTATGGAAAGGAGGAAAAAGTTAGTTTATGCTGCTGACAAAGCCACTTAATACATTTCATATACCTGTCGTACGACAGCAGACGTCACTTCGGAGAAGCTAAGGTCGGGATATGGCATGTCACAGCAGTATATCTCCCATAAGCATATGCCAAAACTGTACACATCACACTTTCTATTGTATGGATTACCATTTAGAACCTGCCAAATTTCTTCAGGTAAGTTTTTCCTTTATGTAAGATCTGTTACTGTTCAAACAAAACATGAATTACTTATGCAAAGCCAAGCTGCTTATGATTGTAACATAAGCAGAATATATGGCGAGGCTTGTGTATTTAAAGAGAGTTAACTGTTAATTACAGTTAAATGACTGACTTATTTTGAAGACTGTTCCTTAGAATACTTTCAGGAAAAACCAAAACAATGTTTGTGTTAGATACTGTAAATATCTCAAGATAGTTATATGCAGAAGTACAAGATCTCAGTAATAGTAAATGGGACCTTCTGGGGTAGGGATTTCTTCCAGTAGTTATGTACCAAAACACAATTGATGGGTGAATTATAAAACAAAAGGAATGCCTGATAAAAGTAGGGATATTATTTAACAATTCAATGTCCTTATTTTCCGACATGGTAAATGTTTAAATCAAGAACTCCTCTTGAGTGATTTTTCACTAAGAGTAGAATGTCCATCCCAGTTCTTTCACAATACAATAGATTTGATCACATTTGACACTCCATGAAGTTACGAAATTTTGTCCACATTTGACATTAATGGGTGTTCAAAACATATCCCAAAAGAACAATGCACAAGAAAGAGATGTTTCCAAAGGAATAGAAGCATATACCTCAGGAGCCATGTAACCAAGGGTTCCAGTTTCACCTGTCATGTCATGAGGATTGGAAGCCTCAATACGAGCCACTCCAAAATCAGCTATTTTTAAGGTTCGTGTCTTGTCCAGAAGCATATTTTCTGTTTTAACATCTCTGTGGACAATCTTCTTTGTGTGCAGATAGCTCAACCTGTTAAGTAAATAAAAAAAGGTCTCAGGCTTGGAAAGAAAGCTTATTCTCTTAAACTTATATGACACAGATAAGGCACAAAGATTGGACCCTCTAGCAAGGTCAAGAGCCAGTTGAACAACCACTTTAAAAGCCAGCTTCCTTCTTCTGTTTTTAATGAGATAAGTCTTCAGTGCACCACCAGGACAATATTCAACAACAACACAACAAACATTACTTGGCATGCCTATATGACCATTTTCCGTTTGTATCTGTAGCTCTGATGTTCCCATTGTTGCCCCAATAAACTGCAAAATGAATTTGATAGTGTGAGTGAGAAAATTCTCACATAAATGTTTGAAATTATGATGCAAATTTCAAGTATTACTTATGGGGGGAACCTTAAGACCAGACCAAATTTCTGCCCTGTAAGTCCCTTCCCCATACCCCAACATAGTAGAGACAAAACAGAGAATAAACCTTAAAAGAATTCATTTGACATAAATGTGACCAGAATCAAGGCATCATATCATATTCATACCATGCAGACAAAAAACATCCTGAGGTTCTGGCAATGCTTGAGTCCTAGAATGTTTTACAACATTTCCAGCTCAAACATATTCCAATATTTGCCTCACTTAACACATTAAATCTCAAGATCTTCATCATCATTTGTCTTTCCCCTTTCATTTTGTTTGTTTATATACTTTTTGTTCTTATCTGCTTTGACTCAGTAGCAAATGACAGCACATAAACCATCTGTTAAAGTTATCGGTCCTACCACAGCATAAGATAAAGGACAAACATGGTTAAAAAGAAGAGAAGAATGAAGGAGCGAATAATACCTTGGTTACATTAGGATGGTCAAGCTTGTGCCAAACAGCAACTTCTTGAGTAAAAGCCGCTCTCAAAGATGCTATTTCAGCATCTGACCGATGTCCCTCTTCCCCCCAGTCAAGGAGCTTAACTGAGATAAAAAAACAAAATGAAAGATTTATTGCATGCTATGAAAGCAGGAGAATATGCATTCACATTCACAAATTAAACTGTTCATTGAATTCAGCAGAAAGCTGCAAGGTTAACAAGTTTAGCATCCAGGAACCGTTAAGATAGTAAAGTGCAGCATATTGTTAATATCATGACAATCATGAAATCTCAAAAAGGCATTACCATTACTGATGATTTTACCTCTCACGGGAAGAATTCCTGTGGCTGATTCCCACTTGAAGAATATTGTATGAATGAGAAATGTATGTGGCAACATAATAACCAATCAACTTAATTTTTTTTAAATCCTTATACCACCTGATGGTAGTAACATAAGGGGCACAACAGTAATAGCCAAGAACACATGAAAGTTAAAAAAGAAAAGAACATTGAAGTTCACGAACATATCTGGCAAGTCAACTGAATCTTGTGAATTCCAGGGAAAACAAAAAGAAAGAAAAGGAAAAGGAGAAAAGGGTACTCAATCTTGTGAATCACGGAATTTGCAAACCTTGATCTACAAAGTTCCAATGCTAGGCAGTTAAACACTATCAAGTTAGATGCCTTCTTAAAGAACTCGAGGAAAAACAAAACAGTAGCAGAACACAGAGTCATGTCCAAGCAAAATTTGTTGCTTGATTGCAAAGTTACAAGCACAAGGAGATCACAAGCAGGAATAGGTAAAACAAAACTTAAGCAGTGGATCTGCAGACAAAAGAAGACATAACTCTGAACAAACTCTTTGAAACCCTTCACAGCACTCCAATTGAAAGTTAACCAAGACATCATAGAAAATGCACTAGCCTATGAAATGAAACCTGGCATTCACATAAAAGAAGGCCTAAACACCCAACAACCTACAGTTAGGCAGCATGTACACATTATGCAAGTATAATTTGAAAACACCAACTACATGAACTTCCATAAGTGAACAAAACTTCTCCCTTGCACATGGGTTTGATGTTAAACAAAATAGTGCAAGAAAAGGAGGGAAAAACAAACCAAACAAACCATGCATGTTTTTTCCTCTTTCTTTCTAGACATGGTTAGTTACATATGTGAACAAAGAGACACACATCAAATGAAAACCCAAAACACTTCAAGTGTGAGACCAAAGCAAGAGAGTGTACTACCTGCAACATCTTGGCCATCGTAAATCCCCCGATGTACAGTGCCGAAAGTGCCACGAGCAATGACAGTCTTGATGACAAGCTTAGAGGGGTCAATCTCCCATTCTTGTCTGCTTCTTGTGGACCTTCCTTCAACCTCCTCTTCCTCCTTTTCCTTGTTCTTCTCCATAGTCCATGCTCTACTCAGATGCCTCTGAAGCTGCTCATCCAAGCTCTTCAGATCTATCTGATCCGCTCTAACATACCCCCCACTCTCACTCTTCCTCATCTCTCTCACCTTCCCTCTTCCTCCCCCACTTCAAAAAAAAAAATTACAAAAATACAAATTCACCGCACCCCACTATACACTTTGAACCTCAAGCCGCTTAAAATCATCTAAAGATTCTGACTTTGGTTGCAAGTTCTGGTTTTGAACAAAATTTCTTCGGTGGGTCTCTTGTGTCTCTCCTCTTCTACTACTACTATATGTTTATGCTGCCACTGCAGGTGCTGCTACTGTTGCTGCTGCTTGTGGTGATGTTGAGGTCATAAATACAACACTGTCTCACTCTCACTTCCGCTCTCTCTCTCAATCATCCATGTGGGCACATGGATTTTGCCTGAACACGACGTGTGTTTCTGACCCACTTTGGTTCCCTCTGATTAACAAAACCTTCAACCTCTTCTAATTTATTGAAACCAAAGATCTCTTTCTGTGTGTCTCTGTGGCTCTCTCTCTCTCTCTCTTGTTTGGTGTGTCTTCGTTTTTTTCTGTTCCCTTTTTCATTTTCTTCTACATTTATTTTTTTCATTTATGGCATTCACGGTTACTGCACCTTTTTACATGTTCCCATCCCTTTCAAGCAACTTGTTTGGCTTCATCAATGGGTGATCATGCAAACGGTTAAGGGAGTCACTTTGTCACAGAGGCAATTGAGTGACTTGTAATCATCATTCATTTTTGTAACATATCTATGTTTAGAGTCAGAGAATATGTTTTTTTTAAATGAAGCATAACATATATTGAGATTTCTTAATGGATACTCTTCTATATACATACAACGATCTTGAAATTAAACTTTTTCATCATCATTAAAAATTGGATATTAATTTTTTTATATATTAAAATTTATTTAAAAATTACCCTTTTTTAACATATACTCTATTTTCTCAAATATAAGATACTTATAACTAATTTACACATATTCAAAAAAAAAATTTAATTTAACTTCATTTTAATATCTTTTTAAACAATTCTTAAATAATTCATGTATGGTACTAATTGAGTTTTAAATTTGACTATTATCTTCTTCTTTTTTATTTCTCTCATCCTCATCCTCATAAGATAGAATTCATACCATTAAATTTTTTAACTAAAATAATTAATTATATTTTTAATTAATAAATAGTTAATGCAAGAGATAGCTAAAAAAAGTATCGCAGGTTTAATGTTTAGAAGATATGATTATTTGTCCACCATATAATATTGTAATCATGATAGAAGTAGCATCACTTAGATAAGTCCAACACTTCATATAATTACATAGTTTTTAATTTGATGAAGGTCGTGATTACATTAATTTAAACTCTGACCATCACATACTGACAAAACAAAGTTTTGTCTTTATTTTTGTTTTTCCAACGTGTGGTGGTGACAGGTCGAATCAACATATAGTATCAGTTGAAACAATAAGATTGTAGCAACAAAGTTGAAGGGAAACCAAATGGATTAGGTTAACGATAGAGAGAGATCAGTTAATTATTAAAATAATTGTTTAGTAATATGATATACTAAAAGATTAAAAATAATAATTATAGAGTTAAACTATTACAATAATTATATATATATATATATATATATATATATAGTCATAATTTATTTTAGAATTTGATTAAATTATAAAATTGTAATTTATCAACAGGAAAGCTGCACAAGCTTGCAGGAAAATAACATGTCTGTCCAACCTGAAAATAATAATCAAACTAAAACCTATTATAGTAGGAAAACTAAACAATCTATTGTGAAATAGAAATTGTTATTATATACTAAATAAAATTATAACAATCTTTCTTTCTTTTTTCTCTCTCAAAACTTAGATTAATGTTTGAGAATTGTTAAGTACTCATGGAATGAAGTTTTACAAATACTTTATTTGTTAAAAAATGTAATTAAATTTCTTCATTCATTGTGGGCATGCATCCCATTTAAATCAAAGGGTAAATTATGTATCGGGATAAATTATTTTGAGAATAAATTAAAGAGTTTAGTTCTTATCTATTACAAGTATGAAAAATTTACTTAATTAATTATAATGAAATTTATAATTAAATAAAAAAATGATATTCTTTGCTATATAATAAGTGTGTGGAATATTGGTTGAGGCAGACAAATAAATTTATCATCAAAGAGAAAATAAGCAATGATATAAAAATAATTAATATGTGATTTGGCAGTGTATTTATTAGTCTATGGTGTTTGGTATAAAGGTTTTGGTTCCTTAAAATGAAAAAAATATTTTTGTTTCAAAATTTTGATTTTGAATTTTTAAATATTAAACTTAAAAGAACTAAATTGGTTTCTGTAAAAAAAAACATTTTTAATCTTTAAAACAGTAATGTAAGAGACTAAATGTGTATTATTTTAAAATAGTAAATATTCTAAAAAAAATAAAAAATGAGAGAATAAAAATATATTTATTCCAAATTTCAGATAAATTAAAACTTAATATCAAACATAGAAAACAAAAGGCAAAAGATATGTGCAATTGGCAAAAGTCATTACTGTGGTCAATATAAAATTTCTTGGTGAGAGATCCATGCACGAGTCCAGGTGACAAGAAGAAAAATTGTGTTTTCTGCTTCTACTTGTTGTACTCATCATTGAAATGGATTCTCATAATTCATTTTTGCAGGTCTATTTTCTTTCCATCAATGCCAATTTGACTCCTTGAGTGGCTTAGTACATACCAAGTGTCCCACTAGTATTGGCTTATTTAAGACTTCTTCTGATAAAGGAAAGACTTCTTTTGGCTGAAAGAGAATTTCAGTGACAAGCTTGAACTGGTAATCATCTGGGGAAGGTTACATTTGAATTTTCATCTACTTTGTTCTAAATAAAGCATGGGAAGTTTAAAAAACAAAAATTAAGGAGATAAAGAAGCAAGGGGAGTGTCTTAGCCATCAAATGTGATATTCTATGTTACCCCATTGGACGAGTTTAAAATAGAAAAAAAAAAAAAGAAAAAGAGAAGAAGTTCCTTTTGTAAAATAACATAAGCTTAAGCAAGGAGGTGTGAATGTGGGAATCAAACTAATTTTTATAGGCCATGATAACCTAGGATCATCACATCACCATATTTGATTGAAAAATGAAATATCAAACATAGATGGATGAACCAAAACCACTTATTTCTTTTGAATTTGTTTCCTTTAAGATGCTTTCAAATGATCACTAAGTTCTATTCTATGTTAACTCTTTGGAATAATGAACAAAAGTGTTAACACATTATCACAATTTAGGATACGGCTTGGACTTATTTATCTTCACCAATGAATAAATAAATATTATTCAAAATTTAGGATGGGTAAATGATGTAGCATGGATATATATTGAACTCTCACATCAAACATGACCGACATCTAGAGTTTGAACAAAAAATTAAATTTTGATGAATAATGGAGTATATGTTCATGTGACATGTATCATATGTGTGTTTGTAAATATTTATCCAAAAAAAAAAATATTACTAAAAGGGAAATATGAAGTTTTAGGCATTGCTTTGCAATGAATAAAAAGGGTACGTAACATTGGTGTGTGTATGATGATGATGATATGGTGAATGGTTACCCGTGAAAGCCAACTTTGGACTTTAATGTGACCAGAAAGATGTCTCTCAAGTCTCAACATAGTCATGAATCACGAGGCCAAGTTTCAACTGAATCCTAAAATGCTCGAGATTTTTATTAAGAGCTATCAGTGGTAAGTAGTAACACCCGTGATCTTAGAGGCATGACCATACAAAACTAAAAATTAGGGTGGCCCTTCTCAATACACAAACAATGGACCCAAAAGAGAGTGACAGTCAAAAGTAGGATTTAATACCTTTTTGGTTTTAAAATATTTTCACATTTTTGCTTTAATTTCTAAAATATTTGTTAAGTATTTTTTTCCAGTTAATTTTAGTTCTAGGACTGTCATATTAATAAATAGTTTAACAGGACCATCAACTGTATAACTAAAACTCTTAATAAAAACTAAATTATTCCATAAAATGCACTAAAAAAATGAAAATATTACCAAATATCATCAATGATGTAGGCATGAAATGTAAGCTATTAAGATAAGCACCATGGGCTATGACTTCAGTAAGCTTCAACACCACAAATTTTCTTGGTCACGAAACGCATATGCTGTTAGATTTTTCTGCCATAAGGAGTCAACTTGGCAATCCACCATTATTTCCTTGCCTTGGGGTCAAATCCAACAATCACTTTTATCCAAAAAATTTATGTTGTGCAATCAAATTAAGTTCATTAGACGACTTTTTTTTCTCAACTGGACATAATTGTATTACATAATGAATGCTTAGTAGTTAGTAGCCTTAAAAGGCATAGACTAAAGATGCATTCTCATCCATGAGAAACATTTGCAAGTTGAAACTGCCAACTAACAATGACAGAAAAGATTTCTCATTGCCAAGTACTGTTAAATGAAACTGTTATACTTAAACACTGCTATACATGTAATTGCCTTTTTTTTATATGGTAACTCTAGCACAACCTTAAGAGGGTGTCAACATTGTTTTCTGTGGACTTGGACTATATTTCAATTGTAGAAAATGCATGTATACAAAGAAAGGGTGAGACACAATAAAGGTGAACAAAAAAAGAAAAAATAGTATCATAGTAATGATACATTTCCCTTCATACAACTGAATTGTAACGTCGCTTCTTCTGTGGTGTTGAATGTGCCTGTGCTTTTATCCCATATGTCTTCAATTGAAAATTTTCAAAAGCCTCTGAAATTGCCTGCACCTATAGGATTGCACAAAGCAATATGTTAGTGAATCCAACCTGAATGGGTAAAGGAAAGAAGTTTAAACATGCACAGGATAACTAACCAGTTCAGCCTTTTTGGAGTACACCTTAACTATCATATCTTGGTAAGATGTAGGTAGCAAGTGGCTTACACGGTCATCAGGTATTGTAAATTTCTCATTGCTTTCATAATCCTGAATGCATTATTGAAACCAGGTAACTCAATACAGCTAGCATAATTTAATTCCAAACTAAGCACCAATAATTGGGCCAAACTAAAGCACTTTAAATATTTCAATAATTTTGAATAATTGCAACCCAGTATCCCAACAGAAGTAATATAAAACAGTTTAAACTGAAACTTATTAGCAAGGAAACTGTCAAACTGCACAAGGTAAGAGGTTTACTAGTGCCAAAAAAGATATAATCCACTAATACAATATAGACACAGGCAAAACCAATTAATATATAAGAAGTTTAAAGAAATATCTTGATGAAAGATAGGTAGGTTTGTCGATGTACCTTGAAAAAGTGGATGCTGCCACAGAAACATGCACCGTAAGAGAGAAAAATAATGCATTAGGATAACATTATAGTAAGTTAAAACAAACTAAATGTCTATGTTCAACTAGCATGATTATTCTTCATTGAATACCTTTCCAGAGGATTATGCTTTCCACGAGTCAAATCAATTTTGACGTTACAAACAACTACATCCTCCTCTTTCAGAGTAACTCCACCACTCTTCTGCCAAATACATATATAAAACAAAATGGAATTCCTCATTGAAGAGAAAGAATCAAAATTATATGCAATTTGCAAATGAGAAGGTTTAACCGGATTGAAGACCTGAGAGCAAACAATATCTTGAGCGGTGACCTTCTTAAAATTGTCTAGCATATCCTTGGGTACTGGGTACTCATTACAAAACTGCAAAACAAAATTATTCCTCAGGTCCAACAAGACTATATAATTATAATTATAATTTAATAAATACACACAAACATTTTAGGCCAATGTAATGTAAATTTAGACACATCCACACAATAGTTAGCATTGAATTTGTGACAAACAGCTTGAGAAGATACGATGACGTAATAGGTAATTGCAGCAGGTAAATGAAAACAATCAAAGAAAACCAACAAGTTAAAAACATGCCTGGTACAAATTCCTCCTTCGAATGCGCAGGATCAACTCCCTGGCCTCCTTTAGTTCTTGACTTGTACTTGTCTCAATAGTTTTAACTATTGTGTCATCCAGCTGCATTTTTAAAGTAAATTACAACTTATGATTCAAAAGAGCATTGTAAAAATGCTTTTAATACAAGTTCTTTTGTAAGAAGCCCTGATAACCTTCCAGTACTGAGAAGGATTATTTATGTTAGATGAAATTTCCAAATAACTATTAGCATGAACAAGTGCATCAACCATCATAAGCTCCATTGCCTGGAAACATCAAGATGGGATTAGAAACTGTAAAAACCAAGAATGGTAAGTTCATGGGTATTAAGTAGACAGGTAAGGAAAAAAAAGGCAGGTATCTACATCTACCTAAAATTCAATAATCTTTTTAACAAAATGAACATACTTCATACCTTCACTTTTGGATGTGTATAAACTGTTCTATACAGATCAGCACGAGTGGCAAACATTTTGTGGATGGTAAGGTCTAGTAAATTACGCAGCCAAAAGCAAGGGGCAATTACAAACACAATTGAATTGGAAAAACAGAAATGTATTATGAAAAAATGTTTTGAGATATGAAACTAACAGTCCTTAGCACGATAACAAATCTCATCATCCAAAATCCACATTGACTCCATTAACCTGTAGGTAAATTACAATTTTAAGATGGTAGAAGTGATATATATAACCTTTGTTTAAGTTTACTTTCCAGCTAAGAAAATTTATCAAACTACAGATAAGAATAAGTTATTTTGAAGAAATTCATGAGACCTTTGAAATTCAAAGTTACTTCCTAGACCACAAGCTCGACAGTCACGGGGAATATAATCAAATCTGCAAAACAATAGCTTCCAAAAAGTATTACAATATGACATAATTCATGCTCAGATACTCACATAATACATGAAACAGAGTATATAAAAAAGAATAATAAACCAGATTTGACTGTTAATTTTCTGCTTACTTGTCAACATCAATTCCATTTCGGCCATTTGCGACAATATCATACAAGAAACTTTTCTCACTTGAGCTCTAAATAACCAACAAAGGGGCAAACATATAAAAGAAAAATGAGACATTCGTAACATATAACTTAGGTAAGAATAAACAAAATCATCCATCACAGCTATTATAATTATGCATAGAGAATAGACAATATAAAATAGAATAAATTAGAAGTCTTACCCTTGGGGGAGCAAATTCAAAGCTTGACAGTATCATATCCTGCAAACATTAACCACTTATTAGAATGAAGATGCAAACCTCTTTCTACTTTCCATTTATCTGATTGATGCAATATGCTTCTTATGCAGAATAAGTGAACAGCTATATCTGTATGAGAACATAAGCCCCCGTAATTGCTCTTTCAACTTAGGATATCCACACACAGAAAAAGGAGACGGGAAAATGAAAGCTAGACAACATTCTAAATCTGTTTTGAAGATGCCGGCAGCAATCTGTGAACACCATTTCCTACTGATGGCTACTATCGGAAAAAGAAATACTATGGCTATCTGCACATTTATCACATTATATATATGTGTGTTTTATGTGTACATAAATATAATGTTTAGAAGAATTACAGTGCTTTTAAACTAGAAGAAAGTTATTTCCAAGTCTACACAGACTTATCATCCAATTTACTATACTGACAACTTTGTCAATTAATTTATCGCTGACATCATATTTATGTTGGTTAAGGATGAGATGCTCAAAATCTGAAGAGACTTTATCTAATGCAGGAAAAAAATTATGGTAAGCAGTAGCTTTACCTTTACTCTTCTTATCATTTGGGAGTCAACATCAATACGGTGTTCATCAACAATGTAATCAATCATATTGACTGACATTTGTTCATGTGTCCTACAACATACGAATTATGACACATATTAAATGAACTATGATCACAGAATAAATTTAAGAAAAATCAAATAAAACATAAATATTTATAAGGATTTTACTGAAAGAAGAACAACTTTTCTCTAAACCTTACAAGGGAAAAAATACAGAGAAAATGAAATGAATTAGATCATGAAATGCAAAAATGTATAAAAATGATAAAAATAAGATTACCAGTCACAACCACTGATAACTTGGGGAAGAAACTCCCGTTCAAACAAGTGACTGAAAGGGCCATGACCCACATCATGCAGAAGTCCTACAGAAAATAAGGCATCTGCGGTAAAAACTATAAAGAAATTATATTGGATTAAAACCAACGGCAATTCTAAGAACCATAAGATACCTGCAAGCTTCACTGTTTGAACATCAAATCTATCAATGCCAAGCTCAACTCCCTGCATGATCACAAGCATAAATTAGCATCCTGTCAAAAAGACTTTACCTTTAAAAGGGTGAGATACTTAATAAAATTTTATACCTGATAAGTTTTAATTTTGTTCACACATTGACCAGCTAGCCAATACACACCAAGAGAATGCTCGAATCTGGAATGTACAGCACCTGGATAAACCATGTGCGTAAAACCTGAAACGTAAAAACAAATTGATTTATTGGAGAGATTAAACATACTGAATATTCAAAAGCGGATATCAAGCCATGTGTACATCAGCTCTTTTAAAAATTTCACAACAACTGTCTTCCGTTACAGGTTACACGAAAATAACAGAAACTACTTTTTAATCAGAAATAAACAAAATATCTTTAGAGACATCATGGATATTTCACACAGTCCCCGATATACCATTGCATCACAGATGATTTTTTTTTTTTTTTTTTAATTTATTGGGATAGATTTATTAGTGCCAGAGGTTGGCAGGGAACCAAATAATGGACATCCTTGTGTTAGTTATATCATAACATAAATGCATAAAAAGCTATTCAAGTTTCCATAAAATTCAATTGTGTTCCAGAAATATATTTTTTATACCTTCATGGCACTTTCAACATACTATAAACTGGCTTATAATAATTACAAAAAACCCACACAGACATATGATTCACATCCTGAAGCAAAATTGGTGTAAAATAATCTTGTTGAAAATTAAAAACAGTTTACCTTAAACAAAATTGTTATGCTCTACTCTTGAACATAGTGTCATTTCAATATACATGAACTTCCAAAACTCTAAAACCTGTTTTACAATATACATGCATATTACTCTTTTCCTGAAACTAAAACTCATTAAAGGTACTCAAGACTTTTCATGACACATGAAAAATGAGTCTTGATGACCTATAAATGCATCTTCTTTTGGAATTATTTTAAATTGAACTTAAAACCAAGATCTTGGCATACTTCACAAAATACATTTGAAACCCCAAAGCAGTAAAAATCAACTTTTCCATGAAATTCCAGAGCTAGCAAAATACATTCAAAATCTTGCCAAAAAGGAGAAGCCTAGATACCTAGCATTTAAAACAAAATAGCATATCTACTACAACAGTCCAACTAACTATTTGATATTTTATCATTCACTACATGTTATCATTTTATGTATTAACTTGATTACACTACGAAACAAACAAATTTAAATTATCACCAAACAAACAGGCATGATAGGGGGAATGTTCAATAAATATGTTCCACTCGCGATTCTTAGAAATGTTCCAACACTGCAAAGTTGGCTACAATTTGAAGGTCTTTTAGTCACCAGGACCACAATTGTGGCCGCATGAACCATATTTGCCTGCAATATCCTCAAATGTAAAGGATTACAACGAAACCATGACCAACACTACAGTTGAAAATCTTGCTCCCACTCTAACCTAATTTCATACATAAATTCCAAGCGTATTTTCATCCTATGTATCCCCACCAGTGAAACAACAGCTCAAGCATCTAAAGGCAAACAAATTATTTGTGAGTTCACAGGGAAAATAAAACGCATGAAACACTACCTAGAATAAGTAATTATGCAAGTGTATATAATTTCAATTTCAAAGTAGCTTCTAATTTCGAAACGACTCTCTGATTAATTGGATGCAAGAAACGTGGATTAACTCACCCAGTTGTTTCAACTCCCGAAGCCTGCAAAATAAAAAAATAAAACAAAAAAGCAGAATTAACAAATAATCAAACAAACAAGGTTGTGGAAGTGAACCGTTTCACAGAATAACAAAACGTTTCAAACTCGCCTCTGAAACTGCTCGGTGTCTATGAACTTCAAACTAAGCTGCAAAACCGAACAAAAAGCAAAAACAACAATAGTATGCTTCAGTTTTGTTCATAGCTACAGGAGAATAAAATTCGAGAGGTCGCACGATTCAATGGTTGATGGAAATTACAGGATCCAGATAAATGTTGCCATGGACGTTGTCGTGAACGTGCTTGCAGAACCTGGGATCTTGGCCTGAAACAAAGTCGTCGTAGGATGGTGGCATCGAAACGTCGACGTTGCTAAATACCCCCATATCTTCCGTCCTTTCTTTCTCTGCTTTCAACTCTCTCTACACAGAATTAATTCAGGTTTTCTCTGTTTTTGTTATCTCAACTTTCAAATTTAAAAAAATGCTAACTATTTATAGTGTAGGAAGAGTTAACAGTTTCAATAAATAAATAAATAACTAAATAAATATTTGTTTTTATCTATCTAATTTTTTTAATGTGTTTTTATTCCACCCTACGCACCATTTTTGTTCCTAAGTAATTTCTTGGATACTTACAAATTACATGAAAATTTTGTTTAATGTCCGAAAAGAGAATCAGAAAGGATTTATATAAAATTTGTATATACTGTACTAATAGAAAATTTATTTTAAATAATTTAATAAATTTTATGTGTGTACTGCAAATGATTTTTTATTTGTTTAGAAATGGAAGATAATTTAAATATATTTTTGTCTCTCAATCGATCCATCTTTTAAAAATAAAATTATTGTGACGGAAAACAGAACTCTAAAAACCACAATACTTAATTTATTATTTTAAAAAATAAAATAAAATTGACTCATGAAGGAAATTATGCTTCCAAGTCAACGGGAACACGGTATGCTTACTAGTTAAGTCAACTTTTCTTGAAACTTCTTTTAAATAATTTGAATCATTTTTGGCACGTGACATCTATATATAGAATGTTGGTTCTTACCATCTTTCAACAAAAAATGATTAGTCGTTACACTATTTGTTATTAAAAGTTAACACCAAACTTAAAGTGAAAAATATGTAACAAACCCTATTATTCTTCAAACACCGTGCTTTTAATATTTTATTATTTTAAAAAAATAATCCTGTTTAAATTGGATGTAATTAATTATGGATCTAATTAGTTAACTATAAATTAATCTCATGATTGGTCTGATCCACCATTAGATTATTATTATTTTTTATTCAACATAATTTTATTAAATAAATTTATATATTTAACAATGTATTGGTGTATCCGTTTTAATCATGATTTATTAATCTCATTCTGATAATATTAATAAATACTTTTTTAATAATGAGAAATTGGACCATTGGCCCATAACAGTTTTTGTAAATTCGTTTTTCGTAGATGGGCGTAGTGTTTTGTATTGGGTCAATTGGGCTATTTTTTTTCTTTTTTAATTCCAAACCTAATACAAATTTTATTATCTATTTTGTTATTAATATAGAGAAAAGGAACACAAAATCACTTATTTCTTGTAAATATTACTCCATTTTGTTTCTATTTTATTTTATAAATATGTAATACAAACACTTAAGTTACTTTAAAATAATAAAATTTGAAATTAAGAATTGACACAATAATAAAAATTTTAAGTTAATATTAAAATGATTTAAGAATAAATAAAAAAATAAAAAATTTAAACTTCAAAATAGCGATAATTGTTTTAAATTAATACCATGCAGTATTAAAATGTATTTATTTTAAAAATTATTTCCATATAAACTATTTTAATAATTTCAGATTTTTTTAATAAAATATTCAATTTAAAACTAATTATTCAATTTTTTCCTAAATATAATATTTTCTTAAGAAATAACTAAACAACAAAAGTACATTTTAATGTGTTTTATTTATTTGTAAAAATTATATTATTTAGCTTACAATAATTTTTATTTATTTTATAAATTTAATCAATGTAATCTCATAGAAAAATGCATCAACAAATTAAAAATCACCATTACATAATTATTATAAAATTCAGTAACTTTATCACACAACATAGTTTATAATTAGATTACAATATCATTTATTTTTTTCAATCCTAAAAAACCCATTTCTCTTATTTTGTTATTTATTTCCATAAGAAATGTTCTAAATGAAGCAACAATTAAATAAAAAAATAATTATAGGTGATATTTTATGTATGAGGAGGAAGTGAGAAGAAGAAAGCAAAGTGGATAACATACATAAACTAGAGGCCAAGAACCACAAACCCGACCACCTTAACCCCTCCAACCATGGTGGTTTTAAAGTCCACTTCACCCCTCTCCCCTCTCTCTTCCCATTTCTTCACCCTCTCCTCCTCCTCCAAACTCTCCTCCCTCCTCTCCCTTCGCCACCACCATGCTCATCCCACCACCACCAAACCCACTTCAAGAGCCATACTCTTCGGTGTCAAAGCCTACATGGACAACTCCAACTCCTTCGGCAGTTTCGCCAACAGGGTCATCGGGGCACTCCCCGTGGTGGGTCTCATTGCCAGGATCCTCAGCGACGAAGGTGGCGTCGGTGATGACCTCGTGGACTTTGCTGAGTTCAGAAGACGCGTCGGGAAGAAGTGCTCCCAGGCTGATTCCACTGCCTTCTATGAGTTCCAAGACCGACGAGGAAGGGTGAGTGATTAAAAAATATCTTTCCTGACACCCTTTGATCTAATTTGTGGGCTTCATTGCATGGTGGTGTCAAAATTATGTCTTTGTAATTAATTGATCAAGGTTGGGTGGTTAAGCAAAAGTTTAATTTTTGTGGCTTCGACCAATCAGAAATCATGTTCAAAAAAATGGACTAATATTATGGAATGAGATTTTCTCTTGTGTTTAGGTCCTTAACATTGTTTTGTGGTAACAATTGGTTTTGGTGAGCTAAAGGGGAATGGATGTGTGATATGGTGTTGGTTTGTTGTGGATAGGCAGGGGATCCTCTCTATGTTCTGTTATGCTGTTGGCTAGCAGCCATTGGTGCAGGTCTTCTCAAAACTGAGGATATCCTAGAAGGGGTGGCTAGGCTCCGGATCTCAAATGACATTGAATTTGAGGAGCAGAATTTCATGTCCTTGATGAGTGAAGCAAAGGAGGTTGGTCTTTGTCTCATTAATTATATAACTTATACAAATTTCGGTGTATCTATCCTTGAAGATCATTGTACTCCATTTGAAAAAGAACTCTACCAGTTTGCATTAACTGAATTAGTCGTTCCAAAATATGTTCTCTAAAGTCTAAACTCTAAACATGAAGCGCTATTATTAAGGAAAGTACTGATAATGGTAGTTATTCAAAGTTTTCTGTAAGGCTAATCTATCACTGTTCTCTTGTTTAGGGAATCATTAACATGTGTTACATTACAATGATAACGTTTTCTCTTGCCTAAATATATATCATCCTCTCTGATAAAGACAATATTCTGTCACAATAGCTTAGTACACTAGCAAAAAACTTTGCTAATATCCTCAAGGATGTCATGGGACATTCTTGCCTAGACAGTACAAAAAATGATAAACTTACCTTGTGCCTTTGCACTGTCATTCAGTGTGTTTTATGTATCAGTGTCGTTCTATTAATTTATCTTTGACACGAGGCCTTCACCATAATAAATTTAATTCCTTGTGGATCAAGGCAAGTAGGTATATCATTTCTTTTAGGTTGCTGTGTTGCTTGGACATTAATTAGCTAGTTACCATAATATGTGTCAGGTGCATAGCTGACACAGTAAAGATGCATATGTGTTACTAATAGGAATGGTCTAAATATTAGGATGATCTTAGGTACCCTTTCAATGGGTAATGAAAAATCCTCATCATAATGGGATTCTCCAGATAAATTTTCATTCATCTTGTGCTGTGAGAAGTGCTGTGTATATATTATCAACTGTATAGAAAGGGAAAAATTCCAAGATGTATGGAAAATATACTTGCTTTTTGTGTCACTAAAGCTCCACCTGTATGCTTGGTGCTTTGATTATGCTGAAACTAAGTTTTATCTATATGTCACTACCCTAAAAACTGATAAAACTTCATTCAACAATGTAGAGACGGGCAAAACTAAAGGCTGACCCTCCTGCAATACCGATGGAGATTCGAGCTGGGAAGGCTCTTGATGCAATCTATGTGTGTTGCTTTGGAAGGGATGGTGTAGAGGAAGAAGATGAGAGACTGCTGACAGCAATGCTTGGTACCGTTTTCCCAACAGTTCAGCGCAATGAGATCCAGCGCCTTGTGAAAAACAAGGCAGAGAAAGTAGCAGGAGGTGTTGATGAGGAGTTTGTTTCAGAACTCAAGCCTCTATCAAAAGATGCTGTTGAACTACAAATGAAAGACCTTCAGTTCCTTCAACAAAATAGTGAGACGTAACAAAGTGGAGCCTGTGATTTCAACTGCTTTTGGTTACTCAGAGAGAAAAGGACAGTCATCCTAGATCATATTCTCGTATTTTTCAGATCCATATTGAATGTTGGGGTCATGACTTTCTTGAAAATGAAGAAATTTGATCTTGTTACTCTCAGCAGTAGTAGCAAATCATGTCTGTAATGAAGAGCCTAGGTAGTTATTGTATCAAGGTATTGAGCTAAGAATGGAAGGTGTTCATTCCGTAAGATACAAGGACATGTAACTATTTTTCTCACATTACAAGTCATACCAATTTGAGAATCAGAGAAAGCATGAGATAACAGGAGATCTTTCAAATCTTTATATATCATTGGAAAAAAAATATATTACTTTGAATCGTGTGTTATTTTAGAGATTATAAATATATATTGTGTTAATTCCACCAAACAGAAAATATGCAAATAGTAGTTACATTGAATATTTAAGTTTAATCATACTTATCAGTTATTTAAATCTTAATAGACAAAGTCACACTAGTCAAAATATCACATTTAATTATATTATAATTATAAATATCAGATTTAATTATATTATAATTATAATTCTCAAAATTGGTGATCTAATTCAAAATATCAGATTTAATTATATTATATTTATAACTCTCAAAATTGGTGATCTGATTTAGTTTGGTCTAGTCTAAAAATTTGATAGGTTTTATATTTTAAAACAAACTAAAATTTTTAACTTAATGTAACATAGGTTAGAATAGTAGACTAACAGGTTATTTTTGGGTTGAAATTAAAAAATATATATTAATATATATATATATATATAATAAATTAATTAATTAAAAAATATTTAAATAAAAAATGATAATATATTTTTAAAATTTCAATTTTATGAATAAATATAATTTTTATTTAAAATATAATGATTAAATATATAACTTATAAAAAAAATGCGTGAATTTAATCTTAAAATAAAAAATAAAAATTTATTTTTTATTATCATTATTTTTTAAAGTAATTTATTAATTTAAAATAATAATAATTAATCTTAATTACTATATCTTAAAATAAGTGATTTTTTTTATATTTATTCTTTAAAATAAATAAATTTTTTTGAGATTAATTTATAATATATATATATATATATATATATATATGTTATATAAAATCAGGTTAAATATTAATTTATTTTTATAGAATAGTAATTATTATTTAAATAAAAATAATATTATTTTATTAATATATATATATATATATATATATATTAATAAAACAATATTATTTTTATTTAAATAATAATTACTATTCTATAAAAATAAATCGATATTTAACCTATTTCATATAAGTTATGTTTTAAATAGACTTAATAAAAATAAGTTTAATTACATAATTTTTTTTAGTTTAATAAATTTATTTTTCGAATTTTTTTATTGATCCATGACTAAACCTATTTTAACAGAACTAATTATAAGTAAATTCATGAGTACCGAAATTTTAAAAGTATTTCAATGTAGACCAGGAAATTCAATGGAAATTGAAATATATATTTTTTTGAATTTCAAATTATAATTGTAGGCAATATATTTTAAAGAATATTGAAGTTTTGGTCGTTGATTGGGTAATGCGTGTGAGATTTGTTTGTTATTACTTTCCATTTTTGAGGAAAAAAAAGAGGTTTATGATGTTTTGCTATTATTTTGTATCTCTTGCAGATATATCCAAAAGACCTGGTTTTTTACTTTCACAATTTAATTCAATTTGAATTGAACAATTTGATGTTTAGTAAGGACTGGCTTGTGGTTTTGGAAGTGCTCAAGCATTGTCCCAAGCTTCAATGAATTAAGCTTTTTAAGTATGAATTTTCTTGTTATCTTTTCTTCAGACATTAGTATTAATTTAATTTTATGACTGTTTTTATCAGCCGAGTTATGATTTATTTTCTGAAGATCATGAAGCAGTTTGGCCATATACACACAACCTGATCCTGCATGCATTTCGTCACCACTTAAAACCTGTTGTCTTAAAAAGTACAGGGGTTCAACAGATGAGTTTCAATTTGCAGAATACATTATGCAGAATGCAAAATATTTAAGGACCATGAAAATTTGCTTTGACAGTGATGATATTGAAGGGGAAAGAGTTGATTGTTGGCAAAATTTGGGTCATGTATATATATGATACATATTTAAATGTGTTAGGGTCATTATTTATTAAGCCAAATAATAAAGTGATCTGACTAAATTAAAATTTTGGCTAAAGGCATATGTCATGAAAATAAGATTGTGTAGAGACCATAGAGTAATTTCTAATTTGATGAGGGACCAAATTGGAAATACTAAAACTTAAGTAATTAATCTAATTCTGGTTATATAAAGGGTCATGGTCCCCTTTTGGGAGCACGTAGACAGAACGTAGTTACAGTCCCGTTCTTTTCTTTCTATCCCCATCAAGAGAGAAAATTCATAGGGAAATACAGGTGCTCTTCAGGTGGAAGACCATAAGATCAAATTAAAGGTGCTCTATAGAGAATATCATCATTATGGCTAATTCAGGTACGTTTTCGCATTTAGTTTATAACATGTTTACAGGGATTATATATATATATGTTTGATCATTAGGAAGAAGATCATATTTAATTATCAGTTTACCTAACAATTGGTATCAGAGCAACCCATACTTAATTCATGTTTGTTTTTGGAAATTACGTTTAATAAAATCAAAGATTCTATTCAATTCAGAACCGTAAAGGGAGAATAATCTCCAATTTTTGTAAACCCTAAATTTAAATTTGGGGTAAAATTCCCAATTTTAAAACCTAGTTTCGAATTTGGGGTAAATTCCCAAATTCCCAATTCGAGTCTGCGACGACCCTCCTCGTGGCCCATCTTGCATATACGTTGGCCCCCTTCACATCGCCACCAAAGAAACCCTCAAAGCTCTTTACTCTCAGGCACGGGATGCGTATTACAGTGGAGAGCCTTTGATACTCGATGACATGTTTGATAGAGTAGAGTTGAAGCTTAAGTGGTATGGTTCCAAGTCAGTTGTCAAGTACCCTCGATGCAGCATCCGGAGGCATTCCACATATGCTGATGCTGACGGCAGGAAGATCTGTCTTTGGCTTTTCCATTAGCAAGCTTATGGTCCCTATTTCTTGCACTTGGCTATTCAGCTTGTGTTTGGCCTATATTTTACACTATTACCACAGCTTATCAAAAGGCATTTCGACACGGGAGGATTGTCATATAGTAGCCAAGCATCAGGAATAGGGCTTTTTTTTTGTGGTCAATAGCATTATCTTCTTGGCACTCGGTTTGGTCATTGGCTACCCAGTTGCTTCAACTTCAGTTAAGGTGCTTCAAGGCCTGTGGATGGGTGATTTAGCGACACTAAAGGGTTCATGTCCAAATTGTGGAGAAAAGGTATTCGCATTTGTGAAAACGGACAAGGCTGATGCCTCTTCTCATAGAGCAGATTGTCATGTGTGTGAATGCTTATTGGAATTTCGCACCAAAGTTGAGCAATCTGATTTAAGATGAGGTAAACAGTGGGTTTATGGACGTATTTACCTTGTTCGAAGATCCCGACGCCAGAGAGAGCCATAAAACTTCTTCCCATCAGGACCTTACATTATTGTGAATATTAATTAGCTAGTAAGGAATGGATAAAACAAAATTCTGTTCAGTTCTTCTTGGTCCAGAACAGTTTTGTTAGATCGCAGAAGCCATGGGTTTCACTGGTGCTGATGCTTATAAAATAGTGAAAACAATCCAACTTAAAGTGCATATACACAAATTATAAATTTGGTTTTGTTATATAAATAAAATATTACTTTTTGGTAGTTTAATATTTTTGTGAACAAATTGAGTCAAGATGTCACCAAAGTAACCTCTCTTGAATTGGGTAGTTCATGAAAAATATTGAATGTTAGTGTTTGTGTATATTCATGCGAGTATTAGTCAGCCCAAAGGAAGATTAATATTTGGCCGAATTACATACACACCTGTAATGATAAACATGTGATAATTATAAGGATTTGCTTTGTCGATGATAAATCAATCCAAAGACTCGGTTTGTTGTTGGACGTGTTTTATTGTCAATGTTTGATTATTACAACAAGATACCTCTAGCAGTTAATATTACTCGTCCAAAGACTTGATATTGATGGTGCATTGGGTGTCTTGAGATGGGTTAAACCATTATTTGAATATATATTTTATTTATAATGATTTATTTTTATAATGTGAACATAATTAATTTATTTCTCTTGTTTTTTAATTTAGCTACAATTGTTTCCGTATCTCGCCAATTTAAATTATGTTCCGATCCTCAAAAATATATTTCCTATTTTGGTCTGTTCTGAAGTCAATTTAGCGTCAGTACCTAGTAACACTTGGTGGTTAGACTCAGGTGCAACTACTAACATCAGTGTGGGTTGCTTAAGCTACCGGAAGCCAATTGATTCTGAAAGATGGATATATGTTGGAGATGGCAAATCGGTAGAGGTGGAAGCCATAGGGCATTTTAAATTGTTATTGGGTACTGGTTTTTTATTTGGATTTGAAAGACACTTTTGTTGTGCCATCATTTAGACGGAATTTGGTTTTAGTTTCTTATCTGGACAAATTAGGTTATTTGTGTTCATTTGGAAACAATAAGTTCAGTTTGTCTTTTAATTCAGATATTATTGGAACTGGTTCACTTTTGCCTTATGATAATCTGTATTTACTTGATAATGTGACCACCTATAATGAAACCCTTAATACAGAATTACGGGGTACTAAACGTAAAATTGATGATACTCACTCAGGAGCATTATGGCACAGGCGCTTAGGTCACATCTCTAAAAATGGAGTTGAACGACTTGTGTTAAATGGAATCTTAGAGTCCATTGACTTCACAAACTTTGATGTTTGTGTTGAATGCATTAAGGGCAAACAGACCAAAGCGAAGAAATTAGGTGCATATAGAGCTACAGACGTCTTAGAGTTGATACATACGGACATTTGTGGGTCATTTCCTACACCTTCGTGGAATGGTCAACAATACTTTATATCATTCATAGACTATTACTCACGATATCATACTTATTCCTTATACATGAAAAGTCACAATCTCTAGACGTGTTCAAAACATTTAAAGCTGAAGTTGAAAATCAACTCAATAAAAGAATTAAGTCTGTCAGATCTGATCGTGGTGGTGAGTACTATGGCAGATTTGACGGGTCAGGTGAACAGCGTCCAGGACCTTTTGTCAGGTATCTAGAGGAGTGTGGAATTGTCCCACAGTATACCATGCCGGGATCACCTAGCATGAATGGTGTAGCTGAAAGACGAAATCGAACTCTTAAAGATATGGTCAGGAGTATGATTTGTCATTCCACCTTACCAGAGTCACTCTGGGGAGAGGCACTAAAGACGGCAGCTTATATTCTGAACAGAGTACCAACTAAAGCAGCGACCAAAACACCTTATGAGCTTTGGACTGGGCGACAACCTAGTCTGAAGCATTTCCATGTGTGGGGATGTCTAGCTGAGGCAAGGCCTTATAAGCCAAATGAAAAGAAATTGGACTCCCGAACAGTAAGTAGTTATTTTATTGGTTATGCTGAAAGATCCAAGGGATATAAATTTTATGATCCCACATTAAAAACAATTTTTGAGACGGGAACTGCTACGTTCTTTGAGGATATTGAGTTTGGGGGGAAGAATAAAATCAGGAACTTTGTCTTGGAGGAAGAATCGGTAACAATTCCAGAACCGATTCAAACAGTTACTTTTGATAAAGTAAGTTCGGAACCTCCACAAGGCATTGTTAATGAACCCCTTACTCAAGATGATTTGGTTGTTCATGAAGAACAAACTCAAGATCCTCAAGAACCTGTGCATCATGAGCTAATAACTTTGCAGAGATCCACTAGAGAAAGAAGAAGTGCTATTTCGGATGATTACATGGTATTTCTTTAGGAACATGAGGAAAATAATGATATAATGGAAGATGACCCAGTTAACTTCCGTCAAACTATACAAGGTTATAACTCTCAAAAGTGGATTGAAGCAATAGGATAAGTATAAGTCCATGCAAGACAATAAGGTTATTGGGAACTTGTCCCATTACCAGAAGGTATGAAACTCATTTGGCTTCAAGATGAATATTGTTGATGATTGTATGTATCACAAGTTTAAAGGAGACAAGTTTAGTCTCAATCAGTGCCCAAAGTGAATTTGAAAATTGAGGAAATGCAAAAGATTCCCTATGCATCAGTTGTAGGGAGTTTGATTTATGCCCAAGTATATACGCATCCAGACATAGCATATATAGTTGAGGTTCTAGGCAGATATTTAAGCAATCCAGGAATAGACCATTGAAAAGCAGCAAAAAAAGAGTCATAAGATATTTAAAGAGAACAAAAGATTATATGCTCACATATAGGAGGTCAGACCAGTTGGAGATCGCTGAGTTTTCTGACTCAGATTTTGCAGGATGTCAAGAATTTGTAGCATGCTATGAGGCATCAAATCATGGAATATGGCTGAGAAATTTTGTCACAGGGTTGCAAATTATGAAATGCATTGAAAGACCACTTAAGTTATATTGTGACAATAAATCAGCTGTATTGTTAAGGAAAGAGTACAAAGTGGACAAATTTTCATAGAACTCTTAAGGACAAACTCCATGATAGCATATCCTCTAACTAAAGGACTTTCGCCCAAGGTCTTTCATGAGCATGTTGCTCACATGGGTGTTTTACAGTTTGAGGAATTTGTGGTTCAGTGGGAGTTAGTCACTTTCATATATTTTATGTTCTATGTTTAATTTCATATATGTATACATTGATTTTTGAACATATTTGGTTATCTATAGATATGCGTTTTTTTCACTACAAGAAAAAAGCATTTTAGTGACCGAAAAAATCAGTCGCTAATGCCCAATAATCGGTCGCTAATCAGTTAGCGACCGAAATGCGTAGTCGCAAAAAGCCTAGTCGCTAATGTGTTAGCAACCGATTTTCATTTCGGTCGCAAAATAGCGACCGATTTTATTTCGGTCGCAAAATCGATTGCTAAATAGCGACCGAATTAAATCGGTCGCTAAATCAATGACAAAGGTAAAAAAATAGCGACCGATTTACATCGGTCGCTAAATCAATAACAAATTTAATTATTTTTATTTATTTACATTTTTATTATATTTATTATTTATTGTCCCTACCTCTTAATTATATTATATTTTTGCTTATTTAAGTTTTTATTTATATTTATTTCTCCTATCTCTTAATTATATTATATTTTTTAGAAGTTTAACTTATTATTAGGTGATTTATTGTCATTGTCAGGATTCGAATCCGGTACCTTAGAGTTGGAGGCTGAAACTCCAACCATCGAGCTACTAGGATCTTTTAATAATAACTTACAAATAAATTATATTTATATACAAATAAATGTATATCCGTATAAATATATAAATATAAAATCTATAAATAAAAATATATTTATATATTTTAATATATATTTAAATATTGATATATTTATATATTGATATATCTTTATATCTTTATATCTTTACATATATTTATATTTTTATATATTTATATCTTCATATTTTTACATATATTTATATCTTTTCATATTTATATATAAAGATATTAGTTTTCTATATAAATAATATTATAATATAGTATATTATACTATTAGTATAGTATACAAATAATATATTAGTATAGTATAGTATACAAATTATTAATTTTGTAATTTATATACAATGAAAATAATATAATGGTATATTAGTATATTATAGTATATTTGTATTCTAATTTTTAATTAAATTAAAATTATGCTAATAATGTATATTAATATATGAGGGGATAATATTAATATATTGATATATTTGTATATATATATATATATATATATATATATATATATATATATATATATATATATATATATATATATTTATATATTTATATATATATATATTTATATATTGATATATTGATATATTAATATATTTATATATTAATATTTTGATATATTTATATATTGATATATTTATATATTTATTTATATCCTTATACATTTATATCTTTATATATTTATATATTTGAAAAAAATATTAAATTTTAAAAATAATATTATATTTTTAAAAATAAATATTAGAAAAAGATTTAAAAATATATATAAATTATATTTACATGTACAAAATATTAAAGATATATGTTTATATCTTTACATATTTATATATATTTATATGTTTATATTTTTACATATATTTATATCTTTCCATATTTATATATTTATATATTTATATATAAGATATTAGTTTTGTATACAAATAATATTATAATATAGTATATTATACTATTAGTATAGTATACAAATAATATGTTAGTATAGTATAGTATACAAATTATTAATTTTGTAATTTATATACAATGAAAATAATATAATGGTATATTAGTATAGTATATTTGTATTCTAATTTTAAATTAAACTAAAATTACGCTAAATGTATAATAATATATGAGAGGATAATAAAT